GTTACGTTTGCAGTGGCGTAGCTCCCATAGAAAGAAAAAGCCCGGGCTTACACATAAAAAAAAAATCCGTGCATAGAGTATAACGGACTAAATTACAAAACTAAGGTTGAAAATAAATATAAGGGGTTGAAGTTTGTTGTTAAATAAATAAAAAAAAAGTCTCAGAAAACAATTCAAAACATCTTTGAAATCATGAAATTCATTTTCACATGGGCTTATACATTTCTGCTGAGCTAGCTACGCCCCTGGTTTGTCATCGATGACAGTAATGTCAAATAATTATTTTCATGTTTTTTTTTAAAAACAGTTTGAGCATGACTTGCATGACTAACACAAAGATCAACATATGTTTTCGGTGTCTGTAACAAGGTATTGTTCTACTAAGGCATCTGATCCCATGGATCCCAAACTAGATCTACATGTACATCTTTTCTCGCCGAGTACCTACACTTGATATTGCTGGAGATCTACATCCGATCTCTTCACAAGTCTCGCAATGACTAACCATTATACAGGACATCTTGTCGGAGATCGATATCGTGACGCCCCAAGCCATTATGTAATTTGTTGATGTGGATGGGGAGATAATTTACCGGTCTGATGATAAAATGCATGAACAGCTTGTAAACTGTATGCAAAGGTGTATTATACCAGTAATCCACGGGTATGCTAACGATGCGTCAAATACGGTCTACCTACCTATACTGTCGTCTTACCTGTAAAAGGCAGGTAAACATCTCCACGACATTCCGACGGGGCGTGAAGGCATGGAATGCATGAGTCATTATTTAGGTTTAATTCATATTTTAACGAACAGTGAACGTTTTATTATGTTTGTTTCGTGTAGGCGCACGTTAGTAATCATAACACGAACATAAACAAGCCCACACTTTTTAACAATAATGTAATATAGTAAACCTTTGTTGTTTATACCTACAGCATATGCACCAGGGATAGTTCTTGGTTCGCTTCTCGGAGAGAGCTTATTTTATCACCCCAGCAGGTGTACTAGAGTTCCTTAAAAACATTTTGTGCTTAGACTTTTAATGTCAAATCTAAAAGTTTTTGGTACAAGTGTTGAAAGGCATCAGTTTACTCATTACTAGGATACTGGTGTTTGGTTTGAGGGTTTCTGTGAGCGTACTTTATTTCTCCAGGGATTCCCTATAAACCAACCACAAATGCTAGTTTGAGGTTCAATGGTAAATAATGTGAGGCGAACTTCTGTACCGATGGCGGTATTCTTGTGTTATCGGTCGTCAGGGACGCGCATGTACAGAAAGAAATGGTATAACCTGCCCGAAGTGTCTTTAAAGTAAGTTTTTGACGAATAATGAAAATCACAATGGCATATGCTCAGCAAAGACGTATAGATTTATTTCCCAGTAGATATCCCCGTGTGTCATATACGTCCCTGGGGAAGGAGTTCAATAAGACATAAATTCTCCACTGAGAAGGGGTGGGGCGTTCTAGAAAGTCCTGTAATATGTTCCGTTGTATTTCAAGACGTGAAATATCGTAAAATATGGACGAGTGATTTGTACCATATTCATGTCATATTTACTAAGTTTTCAACTGATTGAAAATGACAAGCATAAAAGAAAAGTCTTTTTGGTTTTAATTTTCCTTTCTGTACCCCATACATGGGACGTATATAACTGTATTATACGAAACGAAATTGGACACGTTTACATAAATATTAGAATTTCTGTGATATTTATGCTTTCAATTTTTCTCCTCGAGTCAATCATGTTCATCGTACGAAGAATAGTGACAAATTCTGACGTCATATTTAGAGGCTCTCTATCAATCATGCCATTTTTGTTGGGTCATGAATAGTTTTTGGATGGACCTACCTGTAATATATACATGTATCTAGAGGATGTTACTACTGATACTGAAATATCGGGGTCGTTCTTTAGAGATATTCTATTTAAACTGGTCGTTCCGTGACAGCATTCAAAGTGAGAACTACTTATTATTACATCTATCTTTTATTGTCCAATACTCTTTCATCTTTGAAAAATAATGTATACTACAACACAGCATACTCAGAAAGAGCATAAATAAGCCAAAAATACCAATTAATAATACGTACGCAGCAGGCATCGGCGGTGTATTCGGACAAGACAAGAAGAGTTATCTCCCCTACTTACTGTCGACACCGGGGATGTAGGTGTTATACACGTTCCCACTGTCTTTTACTACACGATAAAAAAGACAACGCACTAATCAAGACATTTTCAACTCAATATCTGAATGTACCGAAGCGAAGCATATTACACATGCAATGACGACTGTGTTTGTACAAACGTTTCATTAGTTCAAAACACACCCACATGTACACACCAGTTGGACACCTCATATATATAGTGTCCATTTTCAATTGCTATCAGACAGGTTCAGAAAATGCACATGACACTGGAATTAACGCTGAACTTGAAATATTAACTTATTTTCATAGCATGATATAAATCTATGTGCATTAAGTAATAAAGCATAGTCAGTATCGCATCTTTTAAAATCAACATTTTCTTCTAAAAAGAAAAGGAAAAAAAAAGAAAAAAACATTTTAAAAAATCGCCTAGTACTAGTCATATTAATTTATAACATGAATTCCTCGAATACACGACAATCGCGTGTACATCACACGTCTATGTGAAACTTCTAAATTTCTCTTGTGTCGCTGTTCTGTTATGATTTTTTTTCATTGTAAAACTCTATTGTATACTTGTGGCACAGTACGAAAATCAAAGTCACAGAGCCTTTATCAATTCCTCAAGTAGAATATATGCTCTATTGCTACATCGTATTTGAAATATTAGCTCGGAATGGAACTACGTTTTATTATTTTTGTATGGGTTACATTGAAGACCAATAAAAGTAGAGAAAAATTAAATATATTCTTTAAAGTGATGTTCTTATGAAGGCTGTGTACAATTCTGTACGGGATTCGTGAATATGAAGTGTTCAGAGTAACTAAATACACTAATGGTAACCAAGCGTTGACAGCGCCGCCAGAAGTACACTCTAGACTGGTTGCTTGGTTACAGGTGTTCAGTCTCCTTGACTCGTCCTATCTCTAGTTCGGCGATTAGACTATTACATGTCTCAACAGCACCTGCAACTGACCTTTCAGTATTTTTCAGCATATAAGATTTACGTACATTATGCTATTTATTAACCTTTAATTTCGAGGAATTCAGAAAATAACATATCTGGAGAATACAGCCACGGATTTCTAGGACGGACGAATATTATTATATATATTGTATTCCAGATTACCAATTGATGGTAACTTGATATCAGTTCTAATAAATTTTAACATGACAAGAATGTTTTCACCAATTTAGAATATGTCGATCTCTTCTTCTATCAGAGGCGATTAAATCCGTGTAAACTCCAAGAATTACGTTCTCGAACTAGAACCAGGTAGTAAACCAGACATGTTATACGTGAAATTATGGTTTTTAAATGTTAGATATACTACATAATTATTATTTTACACACTGAACGTCACTCGTGCAATCATGGATGCGTCTTCAACAGTCCGTATTATGGTAAAACGGTGCCTGCTTTATATTCCAAAGACCAAATAGCCCAACGACCCTGTAATCTGAAGACAAAATACTCTTTCTTTTTCATTACTTTTGCGCCAATGCCCAATTAAAAAGGAAGTAGGGTACCTGAATAATGTAAGCAAAACTCACCCGAAGTAGACGACGCCATTTTGAATTTGTGTGTGTACCTTACTTTATGGTCACGTGGCTTCTACACATTGTTTTCACCAGTGATAAACGACGCTTCCTTTCCAATAGAGTGGTACATACTATTTGATTTCCGTCGAAGTGATACACAATACTACAATGTAGATATGTAACATTTTCTGTTTGACAGGACCATGGACGTAAAATACTGTTTTTTACGTCCCTGGATAGGATATTCGGTCGCAACTGAAATTCAGCTCCCGGTATGAATGGGTCGGGAACCAGGGACGTATGTCGTTTTTATGCCAGTTGCATTTGAGACACAGTCATAGTTTGCTCTCGAAGATATACACTTATTTCACGCCTGAAAATGTCACGGTTACATTAAAAATGAACACGAACCGGTTAAATACGCTATCTGGTTGGTTAGATATCAAACGCAATTTTCCACTTTTATATAAAAGGATCTCTTACAGGAACAATAGCATTTTGCCCACGAACCAATTTAAACCAAACTGGGTGCTATTTGTAGCATATTGAGAGACAAATCAGGAAATTAGTTTTAAAAACCCAAAAGGTCCCAGGGGCCTGTGCTATAACTCATTTAATGTAGTGTACAACAGGTGCACATTAAGGGTAAGTTTTTGGTCAAAAACCTATTAAATAGATAAAAAAAAATCTTGCATCAATTGATACTGTATTGCAATTAGCATGTTTATCTTTACATTTATGATGTAAAATATTGAACAAAATACTGAAAGATAAAAACGTTATGCGATCTTGAAGTTGAAAAACATTATTTTTTTAGCATTTTTTAAAAGATATCACAACTTTTTGTTGAAGTGAAGCACGTACATCTGGTTCTAGCACACCAAAAATTTGTACAGATATTTGGGTCATTATACTGTCTAACTATGGCAAAAATTTCAGAAAAATCGAGAACCGGTAAAATTGTCATTTCAAGGTCAAAAGGCATCGTGGTCTATTTTCCAATCAATCATTCTTTTTTGAAATATTATTTAATACTTCTTTTATGATAATTAATATTGCTTATGACTGATGCTAATCTGAACTGTATGTAAAAACATGGTAAATTAACTGTAATTAAGGTTGCTTGTATTGAAATGTGTTATTTCCAAATACACGAGTCTCTTTACACCGTCTTTCTCACCAGGCACATACACGTAATCTGGTCGAACGCGCCCTTTTGATTACTTGTCGAACGAACCGGGAGATGGGAGTAAACATGGATGCTGGGGGTCGGCAAGAGTGATATATTGAAACATATTAACGACCCTTAACACATGTCAGTTAGCGATCCACTCCTTCGGGAGTTGAAAGGTATTATGGGATTATGAAACATACTTAATTTAGTTTAAAATATGATGTTTGTTATTTGCATATTGCATTATTGTCAACGTAACTTGTCAAAAGCAGATCGTGAAAATCGACATGCATCAATGAGAGCGCTGATCGGGAATGTCATCAGCTAGTCACTCAGTGATATGATAGTTGTACTCAAATTCAGACTTGCAGCTGTGCTTCTGTTTTGTCACTTTTGTGGCGACGTTACAAAATAACAGACTTTTAAGTCAGCCAATGTTGGCACACGAGCAACTATTTACATGGAACTATCATGGAGTTATAACAAGGACAACATATGGCATTTTAAAAACAACACTGATGTGTTGAAAGAATTTCAATTCAAACCCAAGTTCTCGTTTTATTTTGTACAGGTCAATAAATCACCGAATAGTTAAAATTAGAGAGGTAAAATGACAAGGCCCACTGGAGGCTAATCTGGTGTTAGCTTTTGCGTTTATTCACCGAGCTGTGAAGTCATTGATGCACCCTCTCCTTACACTTGTTATCAAATCTTTATCTATCTATGCCACATTTTCTTATAGTCTGTAGTTGGTATCAATTTAGCACTGATAGGCCCACCAAAACAATTTTGTTGCCAAGTAAAGTGAGGCTCATTTTTTCCTCTAACTTGCATTACTTGAATACCCCCTGTTTATCATACTGAGTGTTATGTACCAACTGTATCCTTATCATCTATTATTATTTTCTTGTTCCTTCAGATTTGTCAAATTGTTATTCTTCTGAAAAATGAGCGGGTTGGTGTGGCTTGTATAGTGTTAAATCTGAGGTCTGTCACACAGCTGACGAAATATGCTTCTTTAGCTCAGTTGGTAGGGCTGGTCAATTATCATGCCAGAGATCCAGGTTCAATTTGTGGTGGGTTACCTGACAGGAATGTGTATATTTTCTGGTCTTTCACGCTTCAAACAAGCCACATTCTTCTTCATTTATATCTCCGTCCTTTCATATTCATATAGTATTTTCCTCTCTATTCCTCAAACAGGTCATGCTTGCTAAAATTACCTGTGTCATACATAATTGTGTCCAACTTCAGCATACTGATAAGATAATTTATGGTAAGAATTACACATGTCAAATAGAAAGTTACTCAGCTTTCATACTCCATGATTTAGAAACAATTTTCTTCTTATTATACTGTACTATTTCAGTTGTTTCCAAAACAGGAATATTTCTAACGAGCCAGTTTACTGTAACATATATCACTGATTTCTATTGAAGGACTCGTTTTGGAACTTCGGACCAAAAATGAAAATGTCTGTGATAGGACGCCAACACTACATAGGCTGTGTAAAATCCTAGAGGAGATCTTCAGGAAAGGTTTAAAAAGTAAGTACGGAAAAGAAATTCCCAACAGAGTTGTGAGTGTAGACAGCTAAAGAAACAGATATTTTGTAAAGGTAGTCATCAGTCCAGTAATAATTATTGCCAGTTTTCATTTAAATTTGTCTGGTCTCGCCTGCACTGTAGAGTTACTGGGTCTTCATACTTGGGATATGGGTTCACCTTGATGAGGCGGTGTGTCCTGTATCAAAAGAAGGTCACGCTGACCTACACTTTGACCTCAAAGAAAAAGTATGTGTGTGCTCTATTTCCTACACCGCTATATACTGAAACATCTTCCTTTGGGCATGGGTTCACTTGCAGTGTATTCTGGGCATATGTTCTAATACTCAGTGGGTAACTGTTATTCATCCAATTATCTTTTTATACAAGATGTGCTAAGATCCATTTGTATGTCCTTTGATTTACTCTTTCCAGCTCCTGTTTTCAGGATCCGGTTTTCTTGTGTATGTTATCATACTATCTGATTGCAAATACTTTGCAGATCCTGGTTGGTTTGGAAAGTGTGACTATTGGACATGGATAAGCAAGCTCAACAATATTTCCAAACAAAGGTAAAATTGATTTTGTTCCCTGTTCCTTAATTGAATGTCTTTTCCACTTGGTCTTTATGTAAATCTGACTGATGTAAGTGCCACTTCCCTATTACAATGGAACTTCTACAGACCTGTAGATACTAATCAACTTGTGTTGTTCAGAGTATTTCTTAATATTACTCATAGTAATTCTGAATGCTGAATTACTATGAATGTCCTGTCCTGGAGGGATAACATATACTCCTAATTACCTCTTCAACCAGGTCACTCATGAATTACACAACTGATGTCCTTATCAAGGAAGACGTTTGTTGTACAATCAGGCCTTTCAAAAAGCTCTTGTTTGGTCAATTGAGTAAAGCATAATATGGTTACGATGATAAGTAAGAATTTTATAGTTATAGATACCTATTCAGCTTTATGTATTTGTATGGTTGTTAAATTTGCATTCATGGGCAGCTATTAGAAATCCTGCTGTATTGGAAGTCTTTAACAGTATTGGAGTGAGTGCATGTGTTCTGTGTGTCAAGGGAGACATAGCTATCAAAATTTACCTGATTTGTACAGGTAGTCTTTATTACTTTGTTATTTCAGAAACAATCCCATCTTGTCAATGGTTATAGACTCAGTGAAAGAATCAAAGAAAGTAAGTACATTCATTACCTGTAGACAGAACTATACCACCAATGATGCTGGTGTTCTAGTTCACAGAAGCAATCAAAGAATGATTGTTCACTTCAAGTGAACAAGCAATCAATTAAATTTTTCCCGTAATTGATCATAAATGATAATTAAACACTCATGATTGTTGTTAATTGAAATAAGATTTTAAAAAAGATATGCATCACTTATGCATCCAAGTAAAAGTTGATATTAAGTACCTCAATAATCACCATCACACAAGTATATCTGTTTAGTTGCCATGTTGCCATTCAAGTTTTGGGTAGTGTATTCAAGTTTTGGGTAGTGTATTTTGTGAATGTAACAAAAAAAATTTAAGAATCACTTTAAAGCTCACCTGTCCCAAAAGGCCAAGTGAGCTATAGGGATACATCATCTGTCAACTTTTCCTATAAATGACTACTAGTCATAAGTGTCTGAGCAGATTTTATCCAGATTTGGTCTGAAGCATTCTTGAGGGAAGGGGAATTTTTTTTTGATAAACCACAGGTCTAAGCCCCCTGGGGCCTGAGGGGCAGGGCCCAGTGGAGAAAATTGATCAATTTCTTTAAAATCTATCTTGCTCTTCAGGAATTGCAGGATATTGGCCAAATTTGGTCTGAAGTATGCTTGGGTGAAGGCAAATCAGTTTTGTTTAAACAGTGGGTCTATGCTCCGTTGAGCCAGAGGAATGGTGGGTCTCGGCTCAGTGGTGCCAGAGAAAGTGTGGGACTCAGCTCCCTAGCTCCCAGAGGAGCAGGGCCCAATATGAGAAATAGAGCAAACTCTTCAAAATACTACTTCTCCTGCAGGAATGATAGGATTTTGCCCAAATTTGGTCTGAAGTATTCTTGGGTGAAGGGGAATCAAATTTTACATATACAAGGGGTCTGTGCCACCTAGGGTGAGAGGTGCAGGCCCAATAAGGGAAATAAAGTTCTTTAAAATCCTTTATTTTCTTTATTTATAAATGCCTGGATGTTGCCTCAAATTTTGCCTGAAGCAGGCTCGGGTGAAGGGAAATAAATTTTGTAGAAACAGATTTCAGCCCCCTAGGGCAGGAGAGGCAGGGCCCAATTGGGTAAATGGAGCCAATTCCTTTAAATCCTGCTGCTCCTCTAGGTATTAATGAATGTTGCCCATATTTGGTCTAAAGTTTTTTTGTTTGAAGGGGAATTAGTTTTATATCAACATTGGGTTTTGGTCCCCTGAGGTGGGAGGGATGCAGCCAGATAGTGGAAATAGAGCAAATTCATTAAAATCCTTCTTCTGTTGGGACTGAAGACATCCTTGGTGATGAGAACTTAGTTTTGTACAAACAGTACTTCTTACCCTGTCTTGGAGAAGGGGCTAGCCTATAACTGGGAAAGAGATGCAAGTGTTTGAATATTTTCTCCTTTAGTTTAAATCAATTAATCAATTTCAGCAAACTAAACCAGATGAATGATGCAGGCCCTGTGAGCCTCTTTTTAGATAGTATCTGCAATACCACATTGTTTATAAAATGTGCACACACAGATCCCTTGCTGTAACCAGTCAGGTTTAACAGTGTAACAATATGGTTTCCACATTTTACAGACAGCATGGCTGTGTCTTAATTTCTAGCTTGTTTGTGCTGATGTCACCAACTAAACAGTCATTTGAAAAGTGTCATATATGGTCAATATTCTTTTCAAACAGGTATTTAGCAGCTGTGGGCGTGGCAGATTATTCATTCGATCAGCTTTGGTCAAGAAAGTCTTAGCTGTTCCAGTGCAACTTCTGGCTAAGGACCATCAACTGGCTCAGGTAAGAATTTCTGTGAAAAGTTACAAGGAGGGTCTGGTTGTATTTTAAGGATTTCAACCGACCAAGATAAGAATTCATGAGAAAAGTTTTGAGGTGGGACTGGTTGTAAGTTAAGTATCATCACCTGGCCAAGGTAAGAATTTATGAGAAAAGCTACAGGGAGGGACTGGTTGTATGTTAAGGATCATCAACAGGCCTAGTGAAGAATTCATGTGAAAAGTTACAAAGAGGGACTGATTATATGTTAAAGATCATCAGCTGGCTCAGGTAAGAATTAATGTGACATATATATGAGACATGGTGTACACTACGCATTTGGTACATGTATCTATTTCAGGTGTAGAATCTTAATCTTCTAAAATGTGTAATTTCTTGCTCTACAACCTTACCTGAGATTTGTCTGCTTTTAGATAAATTCATCATCAGGTAACTTGGTTTTTCAGAGTTAGTTTCTTCTAGATGAGGTATTGTTACTTTTATTTTAACATTCTAATTAAAGTTATTGTCTGTTTCAATGATTGTTTGTTTGTTTATGCAGGAGTGGTATACAAACAATTCTATTCTTGGGGATGAAATTTTAACAGGTATGTAAGATAAAAGGAACAGATGATATTGACAGAACATGTTATGTGTTCATCAATTGAAGGATATTGTGTTTTATCAATTTTTCAATTCACTTGATTATCATTTTGAAATGAGGTCTATAAATACTGATAAGTTTTTTTTTTTTGTGAAGAATGATAAGATAATTCACAGATATTTTATAATAAGAGAAAATCTCCCAGCTTAATCTCCCTAGGAATTCCCAAATCTCCCAAACACTGCCCAAATCTCACTAACAAGTCCCTTATCTCCCTAACAATTCCCAAATCTCACTAACAAGTCTTTAATCCACCTAACAATTCCCAAATCTCCCTAACAAGTCCCTAATCTCCCTAACAATCCCTCTCCCTAACATCTCATCTCCCTAACAAGTCCCTAATCTCCCTAACAAGTCCCTTATCTCCCTAACAATTCCCAAATCTCCCTAACAAGTCCCTAATCTCCCAAACAATTCCCAAATCTCATTAACAAGTCCCTAATCTCCCTAACAATTCCCAAATCCACCTAACAATTCCCAAATCTACCTAACAATTCCCAAATATCCCTAACAAGTCCCAAATCTCCCTAACAATTCCCAAATCTCCCTAACAAGTCCCTAATCTCACTAACAAGTCCCTAATCTCCCTAACAATTCCCAAATCTCATTAACAAGTCCCTTATCTCCCTAACAATTCCCAAATCTCACTAACAAGCCTTTAATCCACCTAACAATTCCCTAATATCCCTAACAAGTCCCTAATCTCCCTAACAATTCCCAAATCTCCCTAACAAGTCCCTAATCTCCCTAACAAGTCCCTAATCTCCCTAACAAGTCCCTAATCTCCCTAACAAGTCCCTTATCTCCCTAACAATTCCCAAATCTCCCTAACAAGTCCCTAATCTCCCTAACAAGTCCCTAATCTCCCTAACAAGTCCCTTATCTCCCTAACAATTCCCAAATCTCCCTAACAAGTCCCTAATCCACCTAACAATTCCCAAATCTCCCTAACAAGTCCCTTATCTCCCTAACAATTCCCAAATCTCACTAACAAGTCCCTTATCTCCCTAACAATTCCAAAATCTCACTAACAAGCCAATACTTAAATCTCTCTAATATAAAACCAAAATCTTGACATAGTTTCCATATTATAAACAAAATTCTTTATTGTTTTTGAATACAGTTATTTGTCCAATTCTCATTTCAGAAATTTTCCAATCTCTCCTTTTCGAACTGACAGAAGTTCCATTCCAGTTACAAGTTAAGGTAACTAGTTATTACTACTTCAGGAGAAATCAGATTTATAGCCTCTCATGTTATTTATGTTTTATTGTACATTAAAGCTTCACTTCTAAATAGAAATTAATTACTCCTTATTTTTCCATCTGTTTGACAAAGTTCTGCACAAAAAGATACAGGTATATAATGGTTTTTGTAATGTCTAGGAATTTTGTTTGCTCACAATTTTTAAATTTATCAGTTTTAAGTGGGCATTTTGCTTCCACCTCTCATGTATCAGAAATTTGTCTCAAAGCCATACATAAACAGAATCGCTGAGTATCATTATTTGATTTCATTTTGTTATAGAATGCAAGTTTCTTAGACAACACTTGGGATTTAGCAGTAAGTATGATTCTGTTAAAATGACCAGTTTCTATAGATAAAATCCTTAATAAAGTAAAAGTATTGCAGTATTATATAATCTTCATTCTTGAACATTTTTGTTTACACCTTAAAGATTAGTTTTACACCATGTTTAACAAGGACATGTCATGCAATCTGTATAGTTATGTAATTGATATTAATAAACATCTACATTACAAACATTTTCATGCATCTACTCGTTTTACCTATATTATATATTTGTGTATGTATTATATAGAGTACCAATATATTAAGATATATAATGTACCTACTGGTCTGTTGTAGACTTACACAAAGTTTGAGTTTGTGCCGTGTGATGACTTAGGACTACATGTCCAGTAAGTAATTCCTATTAGCAATGGTGATAAGGTGTCTTGACTCATGCCTGAAATCAGGCTGGGCAAAACTGAGAATTTTTTTCCCTTTTTCATGTATGAAAAACAAAAACACTGGTGTAATGTCAATGATATTAATCTATGGTAAATTATATCATGAGTGTTCCCAATGATATCTGGTGTCTGAGCATAGAATACATGTCAAACTATCCATAATGTTATAATCAACCTTTGACTAACAGACCAGGCAAGATACCTCCCTGGCCATAAAATTATGTAATTCTGTAAATCACATAGATTTAGCAAACACTTTATTTCATATATTATTTCTTCAGACATATTCATGAATACATGATTTTGTGAATGCTCATCCAGACACGACTTTTAATTCAGGAATAATGAACAATTAGAGGCATGAAGTCTTCTAGACTCAGACATTGGTAACTAACTCATCTTGGATGCCATCCAGAGTTATTTTCGTTTTAATAATCACAACAGATTTGAATTCGTGATTTTTTCTCCTCGCATGCTAATGGGGAAAAAATCTCACATGAAATAAAAGTAATTTACGTTATTCAGACAATGTACTTTCTTGTGAGATCAGGAATATCTGGAAAGCTTAACAATACATCATAGTATGGAAATATCCATTGATAAACAACCTTGTTGTAAAAATCAGATTTATATGTCCAGTTTTATTTGAATGTTTTTTTTATCTTGATCCCATTTGGGTCATTCTGCCATATTTTATTACAACTAGAAAGCAGGAAAGTGTGTACATTAAGATTACATTTCATAGAAACAAGACTTGGTTACAGTATTACAATGGTTTGCTTCCTTTGTGACAGGTTAGTACAAGGACATCTCCTGGTAGTGGCTGTGGAGTCAGGTAGTGTGGTCGAGGAGGATGTAAGTATACACAAAAATGACGCCATTTATAATTATTTATAAGAACAGGTAGATATATAGAAACATTACACAGTGTACTGTTTACAGTAGTGTACCTATGCATAAAAGAGTTTTAGTCCTAAAATTCTTAGCAAATTAGAGTATATGTATTAGATTTGGGCATGTATTAAACTTACATTTAAGGTGTTGAAAATCTAAATTTTCATCTTCGACTTTTTGGGAAAGAAGAAAAACAAATATATTGTATAATACTTAATTATTGTGTGTTGTGTACTTTATTATTAAAAGTCATTTGAGAGTTGAAGTCCAAAATACTGAGTAGATTTCCATATTGATGGAATTCCTGTATCTGATGTACTGGATGAGAGAACAACCATTTAGAAATGTTTTCTCAATACGATGGATCTGACCTCACTCCTAGTGAAGTGTAGGTATAACTGTCTCCACTACCATGTTATGTTTCCATGTGTTTGGAGATTCTGTGTTTTGATGATAGTATGATGTATTTTAACAGGGAAAGATTTCACCAGGAGATGTACTTGATGAACTCTACAAACAGCCTCTAAAAAACAGCAAAATAGCCTATGTAAGTAACAGTCTGCCAAGAATCATGAGAAATTACCTTGAATCTGTCATTAAATTGTATCACTTTTGAGCTATCCACAAGTAAACTTTGTTTACTACATACAGAGTTAGTAATGAGTCACTATTATTTGCTATGTTTTCTGCAAATATCCATACATGTATTATAATTGAGATACATACAACAAAAATAATTGTTATTTGGTTTTGAATTCTAAGATGTAGGAAAAATATTATTTAGCAAGTAAATTTAAATACAAGAGCAGTGTTCTCATTAAAAGACAGATACAGCAATATTAGTCTGGTATTCATCAACATTGATCCACCTGTTTTTTAGGATATATATTGGACGATACTGCAACACACTTCAGTTGCCTGTTCTTTAAAATCAACCTGTTGTTTCAAATCTTAGCGAGAGCACTAATGAGTCTGCTCTGACTTGATACAGGTTATCATGAGTCAACCATGACTCTAGATCAGTGTGAGTGATGTGTCAGTCACAAGTAGAAATGCTTAGATCAGTTCTGGTTATAGAAAAGTCTATTTATAGTGTGTTTAAAGTATTATCAATGTACCTGTCCTCAATTCCAATGATTTCATAATTGGAAAAAAAATTACTGAAAATATGTTAATACAGCTAATGTGTTGTCGTATCAAGATTCTAACTTATTTATCTTTTATTCTAGGCACATAATTTGCTGCAGAAATATCATGGTCTTCCAGTACATATGGGTGTTTTGAAGGTAAATTTTCACAAATATAACCTAATGTATAAATCATTAATGATTATAACAGATCAATGTTGTGTTAGAGATGTGACATTTGTCTTGTGATGGAGATGTTAGAGACATGAAATGTATCTTGTTAGGTCAACTGACCTCAAAGGTTGTCTGCCCTGCACTGTTTGTGACAGTTCAAACTTCTTAAGCTCAAACTTGCATGAAATGATCCTGAGATGGTCCTGACCAAGTGTTGTTATTTTTCGGGTATGTCTGAAATCCAAGACAGGGCCGCCATCTTGAAAAAAAATATTTTAACGTGGTGGGAATGTTAAGGAAAGGTAGTCTGACATGTGTTATATACATGACATGTGTTACAGACATGACATGTGTATTGTGTTACAGACATGACATGTGTATTGTGTTACAGACATGACATGTGTATTGTGTTACAGACATGACATGTGTATAGTGTTGCAGACATGACGTGTATTGTGTCACAGACATGACGTGTATTATGTTGCAGACATGACATGTATTTTGTGTTATAGACATGACATGTGTATTATGTTACAGACATGACGTGTATTTTGTGTTACAGTATCAGGACAGTGAAGGTAACCTATATCAGCCAATTATACAGCTATTGGAAGAATGTGGTATTGACCCTCTGAGTTTGGGGGGATCTTCTTCATGGCAAGATCAGACCAACACCCTCAATGGGAACAGAAAACCACCACATGCTATCCTGGAGGAAGACGAGGATACAGAAATACCTGTTCATGGCTCAGACAGCGGGTCAGTATTCACTGGACATTGAATTTACTCGTCCAGTGCGGTTGAATGAGGTAGTAAATCATGATGACAAGGAAAGAAATAATTGAAAGGCATAGGTATCAAACAGCCATTATCACAATTAAAAAGTTAGATACTGTGGCAAATGAAACCAGGAGAGTCATTCTGATCTGACAGTTTTACTTTGTCTGCATTACTGTCAGGTTATTTATGTATCAATATTGTTACATCAGACAGAACCTGTAAAGAATTTAGATAAAATGACACTAGAAATATTTATTTGTTTACACATCTTGGAATATCTAAAAGATAACTTGAATTAAATTTTTATCATAATATTTGAAATTCTTTGTACAGATTATGAAAATATTTTCATGTAAATTTTCAGAGCTGTTTATGAAGCATCCTATCTTGGTCATGCGATACTTGGAAAGGTAAGCCTTCTATAGACTGCCATGTTAAGTGAGATCTTGTCATTCTTCATATCTGCTAATCAAAGAGACATGATTTCAGTAACAAGTATTGTTTTACTGAGTATTTTGGTAAGACCTCCAGTACCTCAAATAGGAAATTATGTTGATGTGAGATTAGACATTGGTATTGGTCTCATTATCAAAATTTGATGTAAACACTCTCAGGTCATTTAATTGGCTCATTATCTGTTATCGCTACTGTAACATTATTATGTACTAGTGTATAACATCATTATCATTCATGATGTCATAATAGGTCAGAGTTCATACAAAAAGACTGTTGACTACCATTTGTTGAATATAATGGATATACAAACATGTACTTGAAGTCATTTTACTATTTACAGTATGTATTTTAACCCTGTGCTTATTGAAATTCTCAGATGTTTACATCATAAATAGTTTTTATTATTCTTGAGGTAGTCAATTTAAACCCAGTCATACTTGTATGAAAACTGAACCTTGTGTCCTGATGATAATCTCGTAGGATTTTCTGTATGCTGTGTTAGTAAGCTGGTTGTGTTGTAGGATGGCCGTGTTCAGAGGATAGAAGACGCGGTGTCACTGGTTGTGAGGAGTAACAAGAGAAAAAGGGTGAGAAAACCATTACTGTTCTTTATGAAGATAATGTTGGTCTACAGAGTATTTTGTAAGTTCCTGCTTCATGGAAAAATGTTATTGATAAAGAAAATTTGACTTGCATCATCGTTAATGAATTTATAAATTCTGTAAAATATGAAAATAGTTATTGTGCATATATAATTTGGAATCATTTATTTATTTCATAAAGTGAAGTCCAATGTGTGTTCTTGAAGCTTGGTATGGATGTAGAAACTATGAATACTGATATCCGCGTCTTAATATATCTCAGTATACCTGTATATAGAGATAAAATTTAGGGTCTGGTTTACTGGCCAGTAAAGGCTCTTGTGTAAACTGGTTGATATGGCAAAATGAAATTCTCTATGAGAGCAAACGTGATCACGACAAATTTGGTGAATTTGAATGGAATTGTTACAATAATCAGATTAAATTTCTGCTTAAGGGTTGATGTAAAGTAGCATGAATGAACCTGATATACTCTGAAGTTATTGTTGATAATCCCAAGGGATTACATCATTTAAAAATGGACCTGTAAGTGTCACTGGCCCACCAGATAAAAGTGATGGTAAACCTCTCACCAGATTTCCTCTATCAAACTGTTATTCCATATCTTATTGGAAATCTTAATAACCATTAACTTTACCGACATAATCATTTTAAAAAGAAAATCTCTCTTCAGTTTTTGCACAGTATATTCCTATTTATTGTTGAATGGCTCATCTAAATCCTTTTTAGTACTATTTCCAATGATTTTCAGACCTGTTGCCTCAGGTTTTATTGCAGTCATTTCTTTGTACTTCAGAGAGTGAAACTTGACCTGCGAGAAAAAGAAATATATGTCTCTGATCTGACAGATCATAAGGTATGGACATGGCATATTCAGATCATTTCTCCAGCAAACCATATTTTATAAATTAGGTTAAAAATTTGTACTATGTAACACCTTTGAGGATTTTTTGGTAGTTTCAATGAGAGCTCGAAGGTAAATGTGATGTATTTTTCATAGAAGTTACAAGATGGATTTTCTCTATAAATCTTACTTTAAGGGTCTGTATTGACACTATTTTATTCACCTGCAAAAAGAAAATAAAAAATAAAACCCCTTGAAGATAGTAACTACTACAGTATTATTTGAAAAGATATTTATATTTTAACACAAAGATTAAAAACGGTGTTTGATAGCAATTGAAAATTTCATATAAACACTACAAATTATTGTGCTTAATAACCAGATGTTTTGAAAGCTTACCAAGACAGACAGTTTTCATTCGCTGTTTGTGTTATTAGAGTACCACTGGTATTGTCTGGATATCAAGTATATTATAAAACGTTTTGTTATAGTTGGTGCTACAGCATGCCTACACTGCCATATCTGCTTGTGGGCGGAGGACTGATGCTCTCACATATATTGGTTATATTGCAGGGTACGTATTGCTACAGTACATTAATAATGGGCCTGGTGTTACTTATGAAAAAGACTTCTATAAGTTACTTTTTGAATTTGCTTTGACATACCTGGCTTAACTTATCTGTTAAGAAGCACTTTTCATAGCACAATGATATAACAAACTATAAATTCAGTGATATGTTGTCTATGAAAGTATTGGTAAACCCAGGCCTTTCTCGATCAACAGATATGTCTAGTTCATATTGTGTTTATCTGGTAATAAATCTATTGTTGATAATAAGCCCACACATATCTTTTGTCAATCAGTATAGTTGAAAATAACCTTATCATCAATTTAGAGTCAGACTCTATGTTTGTGCCCCGGGCTTATTAAGGATAATTAAGTTAGGTTTAATTAAAGAAACAATTTTCTGATAAGTGCTGTTTGATTAAGTACCCATATGACTTTTTTATATATATATTTCGTGAAGTGTTTCAATTTTCAACAACTAATACATTATGTACTTTACTAGGGAGACAACCTGTAGCCTGGCCAAGGACTTTGTGTGTCATGTATTTGAGATGAATAATGTGGAAGAGGTGAGTGGATAGTTTTTTTAGTTCTCAGTTTTTAGCTCTGGGAAATTAGATAAAATCGATAATTTTATTATAGAATTTACAGTTATTGTGATATGGCAAAGGTTTTAGTGCTACAGAAGTCAGTAATGGATTTAGAATTAGGTGATGAGTGAGTGAGAAAACCTAGAGTAGGTATTGGAGATGTGAGTAATTGGAGATGGGAGTATTGTACCTTGTTATATTGAAATACATACAGCAATCATTGTCATGAAAAAAGTGTAACTGTCGGTCCATAAAACAAAAAATGCCAAGCTGAAAATGTTCAGATAAGATCAAGAAAAACTGTCAAAGATAATTTTGATAAAATTAAAGTTCTGGAAAACACATCTTCATGACATGATGATTAAACCTCAAAAGTTTCAAAAAGATCAGTTAAAAATGGAGATCACACAGCAAAATAGCATTGCTCAAAACATCAAATGGATGTAATGCCAAAAAAGATCAAATATCAAATGGCTGTAAATCTAACAAAAATTATTGCTTCAAAATTTTTAGTAGATTATGAGAGCAGATTTCTGTTAGTGAGACTCCACTATCCATAATGTATAGGTATAAGAACTGTCCTGAATGTAAATTAAGTTGTAATAAAGTTACAAAGAAAATAAAGGAAGGGCAATAACTCTGTATATAGTAATCTGAGAGAATCACAAGTTGTAGTTGGATAGGTTTCATCATCAGTGTTACAGTGATCTGACTATCAGGTATAAAGTTGATTGTTAATTATTACTAAACACACTGAACAGAAATATATATTTTATAAACAGGTGATCGATACAACAATATGACCTGTCAGTATATAAACATGGTAAATGAAAACTGCTGGTTTGCTTCAGTTTATCATGTATATGCTTGTGATCTGGATTATATATACAAGTTTATGACAGATTTTTTTATGATATTTGAAAGTATATGTCTGTCTGTGTAATGCCTAGTAAACCGTACTTTGTCATCTCTATTTCAGGCCAGACTTGCACTGTGTACTATGGGTAAGTCTTTACTTTCTGAAATGTTTTTCATTTCTCAAGTCATTTCACTCTGATAGTTATTCATTTCCTGGATCTCTCTTGTATAAACTCCTAGTTATCTTCAGACATAATAGTATTTTAAAAAATTTTCATAACCTTAATGGAAATGTAATTACATTTATCATTCTTGTCTATCACCTATCATTTGAAATCACTCCAAATTGCTCCGCTAAATATTTGATCTTACTTTGCATCCAGTTTGTAGTTATTAGGCCATAATAAGTTAAGCAGGCTTTTTATAAAACTTTATACAAAGGTTAAAGTATATAACCAAGGTGAAATATAACAATCATTCTTGTTTAAGATATATGTTTCAATGTTTTCTATATGCCAATGTGATTTTCAGGCATCTAAACACGATGTTCCACCTTTTTTTTCATTTTGTTTCCTGATATCTGTCTGTGTTGTTTCCTGATGGATGTCTGTGCCGTTTCCTAATATCTGTTTGTGCTGTTTCCTAATGTCTGTTTGTGCTGTTTCCTCATGTCTGTTTCTGCTGTTTCCTGATATCTGTCTGTGTTGTTTCCTGATGTCTGTCTGTGCTGTTTCCTGATGTCTGTTTGTGCTGTTTCCTGATATCTGTCTGTGTTGTTTCCTAATGTCTGTCTGTGCTGTTTCCTGATGTCTGTTTGTGCTGTTTCCTGATGTATGTCTGTGCTGTTTCCTGATGTCTGTGTGTGCTGTTTCCTGATGTCTGTTTGTGCTGTTTCCTGATGTCTGTCTGTGCTGTTTCCTCATGTCTGTTTCTGCTGTTTCCTGATATCTGTCTGTGTTGTTTCCTGATGTTTGTCTGTACTGTTTCCTGATATCTGTTTGTGCTGTTTCCTGATGTCTGTCTGTGCTGTTTCCTGATGTCTGTCTGTGCTGTTTCCTGATATCTGTCAGTGCTGTATCCTGATATCTGTTTGTGCTGTTTCCTGATATCTGTCAGTGCTGTTTCCTGATGTCTGTTTGTGCTGTTTCCTGATGTCTGTCTGTGCAGTTTCCTGAAATCTGTTTGTGTTGTTTCCTGATGTCTGTCTGTGCTGTTTCCTGATGTCTGTTTGTGCAGTTTCCTGATGTCTGTCTGTGTTGTTTCCTGATGTCTGTCTGTGCTGTTTCCTGATGTCTGTTTTGTTTCCTCATGTCTGTTTTTGGTGTTTCCTCATGTTTGTCTGTACTGTTTCCTGATGTCTGTCTGTGTTTTTTCCTGATGTCTGTCTGTGGTGTTTCCTGATGTCTGTTTGTGCTGTTTCCTGATGTATGTCTGTGCTGTTTCCTGATGTCTGTGTGTGCTGTTTCCTGATGTCTGTTTGTGGTGTTTCCTGATGTCTGTCTGTGCTGTTTCCTCATGTCTGTTTGTGCTGTTTCCTGATATCTGTCTGTGTTGTTTCCTGATGTTTGTCTGTACTGTTTCCTGATATCTGTTTGTGCTGTTTCCTGATGTCTGTCTGTGCTGTTTCCTGATGTCTGTCTGTGCTGTTTCCTGATATCTGTCAGTGCTGTATCCTGATATCTGTTTGTGCTGTTTCCTGATATCTGTCAGTGCTGTTTCCTGATGTCTGTCTGTGCTGTTTCCTGATGTCTGTTTGTGCAGTTTCCTGATGTCTGTCTGTGTTGTTTCCTGATGTCTGTCTGTGCTGTTTCCTGATGTCTGTTTGTGCAGTTTCCTGATGTCTGTCTGTGCTGTTTCCTCATGTCTGTTTTTGGTGTTTCCTCATGTTTGTCTGTACTGTTTCCTGATGTCTGTCTGTGTTGTTTCCTGATGTCTGTCTGTGGTGTTTCCTGATGTCTGTCTGTGCTGTTTCCTGATGTCTGTCTGTGCTGTTTCCTGATGTCTGTTTTTGGTGTTTCCTCATGTTTGTCTGTACTGTTTCCTGATGTCTGTCTGTGCTGTTTCCTGATGTCTGTCTGTGCGGTTTCCTGAAATCTGTTTGTGTTGTTTCCTGATGTCTGTCTGTGCTGTTTCCTGATATCTGTCAGTGCTGTTTCCTGATGTCTGTTTGTGCTGTTTCCTGATATCTGTCTGTGTTGTTTCCTGATGTCTGTCTGTGCTGTTTCCTGATGTCTGTTTGTGCTGTTTCCTGATATCTGTCTGTGTTGTTTCCTAATGTCTGTCTGTGCTGTTTCCTGATGTCTGTTTGTGCTGTTTCCTGATGTATGTCTGTGCTGTTTCCTGATGTCTGTGTGTGCTGTTTCCTGATGTCTGTTTGTGGTGTTTCCTGATGTCTGTCTGTGCTGTTTCCTCATGTCTGTTTCTGCTGTTTCCTGATATCTGTCTGTGTTGTTTCCTGATGTTTGTCTGTACTGTTTCCTGATATCTGTTTGTGCTGTTTCCTGATGTCTGTCTGTGCTGTTTCCTGATGTCTGTCTGTGCTGTTTCCTGATATCTGTCAGTGCTGTATCCTGATATCTGTTTGTGCTGTTTCCTGATATCTGTCAGTGCTGTTTCCTGATGTCTGTTTGTGCTGTTTCCTGATGTCTGTCTGTGCAGTTTCCTGAAATCTGTCTGTGCTGTTTCCTGATGTCTGTCTGTGCGGTTTCCTGAAATCTGTTTGTGTTGTTTCCTGATGTCTGTCTGTGCTGTTTCCTGATATCTGTCAGTGCTGTTTCCTGATGTCTGTTTGTGCTGTTTCCTGATGTCTGTTTGTGCAGTTTCCTGATATCTGTTTTTGGTGTTTCCTGATGTCTGTCTGTGCTGTTTCCTGATGTCTGTCTGTGGTGTTTCCTCGTGTCTGTTTGTGGTGTTTCCTGATATCTGTCAGTGCTGTTTCCTGATGTCTGTTTGTGCTGTTTCCTGATGTCTGTCTGTGGTGTTTCCTCGTGTCTGTTTGTGGTGTTTCCTGAAATCTGTCTGTGTGGTTTCCTGATGTCTGTCTGTGCTGTTTCCAGATGTCTGTCTCTGCTGGTTCCTCATGTCTGTTTGTGCTGTTTCCTGATATCTGTCTGTGCTGGTTCCTGATGTCTGTTTGTGCTGTTTCCTGATGTCTGTCTGTGCTGTTTTCTAATACCTGTTCACATGTTTTTGCAGCACAAGGATTCCAGAGGACACATCTTCTACTGTGATAGTTCTTGGGAAAAACACCAAGAAGACAAACTAAGGACCAATAATAGAACTGTCATGAATTGTTAAAAGATAGAAAGTATTGTTTTCATTAGTGACTGGAGAATGTAGGAAACTTTACACAACATTGTTTTAGTTCAAATGTAAACTCATGTGATGATATTTGAAATCTTTTATGATATTTGGTGAAACTGATACAAAGTTTTGCACTATGAACGTAAAGTTTTTGAATTCATTGATTTTATTTTGTTATTAGATGTAGCAATGTTCTCAAAATATCACTGTAAAATTCTGCAGGAGATATTTGTATCCGTAAAATAGACTCTGATATCCACAAAGACAAGGTAGGGTAAGATTTAAACATGCTGAAACAAAGGATAAATGTAAATATTTACCAACTGATAAATGACATCACTTAATGAGGATTAAATACAATAATGTGACATTGCAAATCAGGTTAATATTATAAAATATTAAAAATACCCATTCTGTTGGGTTTAACATCAGCAGCCAAATCTGCACATGATTGATATTTCCCACCTAATATGGAGATCCATCGATTTTGAAAGCAAGGATGAATTCTTTAGATGATATAGAAATATTAATGTGTAGAATAGATCAGTTCTTTAAAATTAGCAAGAAATGCTTTATTTAGGCCTTGCTTTTTACTTGCTAAGATAAGCCTCCGTAAGTCAGCATGACCTTAATACATTTTTTATACATACATGTCAAGAGGTCAACTTGTCTTTAAACTGACTTTGTAGCAAGTTGTGTTTTGCTTGCGTTGTTATCCCAGCATATAGTGCCTATATTAACGGTGAATTATTTCTTACTTTCCGTGGACTTACAGGTTAATAGAAATGCATTTATCTATGATTTAAGTTAAGGGCCATGTAGATGGCTAGTCTAATCACCAGAAATGTGTTTATTGCCCAATAAATAGTCATCTTACTGGTTAAGAAATTAGTCTTCTTATCTTGTCAGAATTGAGGTCCTTAAATTGATGACTGTTTCTCTAAATTTACAACAAGCTGCAGTTATTTTAGATATCCTATGTAGTTATTGTAAAGATGAATTAGCTTCAGTCAATGTATAACCTTTATAATTATCTTATTGCAGTACTAGAAACTAGTCAAAAAATTGATCAATTTGTTGATCCTATGTTCTAATTTAAACTCCTCATCCCTCTATTCTCTAGGATTCCTAATTTTTATGTGTTTATTTAAATCCTGTGTGGAAGGTTTTTCCTATCACTGTTCAGACAGTACCTGTATATATGTAGAAACCCTTTCACACTAGTTCTGAAGCCATCTTGGTTCACAAACAATAATTCTTTTCACTGTAGTTTCTGTAATCTCTGTATGCTAATTCCATAATTTCCTTTATTTCTGTGGACCCCTCAAGTTCCCACAGCTTTTGTACAATACTTCCCTTCTTTATCAGTATTTCTGTTGATCCAGTAGTTCTCATGATACCTGATCAATAGTCCTGTATTTCTGTCAGCCCTGGTACCAGGGGGTAGTCCCTTGGTCTCTGCTTAGAAGTTCTCTTGGGACCATACATTACTTGTACATTGGTCAGTGAATTCCTACGATCCCAGTAGTAGACATGGTCCTACTAAACATCCCCCCTCAGTCCCAACTCCCACCCCACACCTGGTATTTAGTTTAACTCAGACATGAGGTGCTAATCATTTCTTATTATACATTGGTACATATATTTATCATGGTTTCTTTCATTGTTCTTAAAAAAGAATTTCCACTCAATCTTGAGGCAAAGCATCGAGATGTCTGGTCTGCAGCTTGTGGGGTTGGAGGTATTTGGTTTTTTGTTTGTTTGTTTTTGTGTTGTTTTTTTTTATTTTAATGCAATATTCTTCATAACTGTTATTGTGATCAAAGAAAATGGTCTGCTCAGATTAAATAGTACAAAAGATTGACAGAGGCTCAATTTCAAAGTTACATGATTGGATTGGATTTAAAACTCAGTTGAATTTCCTCTGCAGAAGCCTAAGTCCATGATTTATGTTAAAAAATTGAATATTGATGTGAAAATCTTGAACTAGGCTTAAGCTATGATATTCAGTCTGAAGCACTACAGAATTTGTCTAAGTGAATAATCTTGGCTTATGTAAGGTTACAAATGTCAGCTGTGATAAAAATCAAGAATAAGAGATAAGTCCCTCCAGCATCCCACACATCTCTTACAGGAGACCAACAGCGTTCAGATTGTGGAGGTCCCAAATGCTCAAGTATCCATGTGTTTATATGAGGTTGCTTTCAGTTTATCTTACATGCAGATTTGTACATAACTGAATTTAAATGTTTTGCCTGTATTTATATATTAATCAGATTTAAATCTTTTTTTCATATTTAATGAGACTCAGTATTTTTTGAGAAAATTTCAACTTGATAATGATATGTTAATATTACGTTAAAACTTGCTGAAGCTTAGTGTTACCTATCAAGAAATTATTTTTGGGGGATATCAAAACAGATCAAAAACTAATATAAGTGTTGGGTCCCTCTGAAAATACAAACCAATGTTATAAGAAGTTCAGAAGACTGTCATGAAATAATGTGACCAGTCTTCATACACTAATGTACAAGTGTAGCAGGCACATTTACAGGTAAAATGATATGTTGCATGTGCTGTGCACTTTTTGCGATGTGAAATTACAGGTAGAAAACATGTGTAATAGTCATTCGAGGGCTCACTGTGTAGAATGAATAGGATATATAAATGTCTAAAGTAAATGGCAACCTTTCTCAAAAATGTCTAAAGGATTTTTGTACAATCGGAAATGGAGATATTTTTACAAAGAGTGAATTTCAAAGCTTTGATATTAATACATACACACAATATAGTCTTGTGTATGTTAATTTTCATTATCAGGCCAGCTGAGACAAAATGTCATGATGACCTATTGCAATCGCCTTTGTCTGGCATTGTGCATCTGTAAAATTTTAAGAATATTAACTTCTTCTCAAAAACCCCCGATCAGATTTCAATGAAATTTTGCAGAAACCTTCCCACATATCATTGTTTATTTCCTACTGGAAATAACTTTGTAAGAATTCTTAGTATAGGATGACAGTATGCATTTATTGACACTGGCTTACTTTCATTGAAGTAACGATTACTTTTTCATGACACTTGAAAGCTGCTTACCCTTTAACCTCTAAATTCAATTTCACTTATCCCACGTGACCGTCATGGTTGCTAGGCCTCTTGTATTTATATAAAAAGATCATTATTTTTTTTTCTTCTATTTTTTAATGAAGTTGTGTATATTACGGCTTTTACAGATAGATTTAAACTATTTCTTACATGATTCCCACTAGCTTTTCGTAGTTAATTTTGAATAAGAGATGTTTGATGTATTTTGCTTTACTATTTCTAATGCTATGCTAACTCACCATCTTTATAAAGGTATATAATTCTTTGAATATTATGTGCTACATTTGTGATTCAGTACAATAGCATTCCATATTTATGATAAAGTGCCAATTTCTCCCAGAGTGCATTGTCCAATCCATAATGTAATGCATTGTGGGAGATTTTGATCCAGTAGTTAATATCTGTTAAACTTGACCTATAACCTGTTGTATATTAACATTCACTTCAGCCAGATTGTATGGATCACCTGTTTTGGTTGTATTCCATTATAAAATCATGGCAGTTTACATTCCTATATATGTTTTACATTGTATATAAGTATCAAGTTGTCAATAGTTCCAGCTGTTCTTTAGGTATTGGTATTTTCAAAGTACATCCCCTGATTAGGTAAGATGGTATAAAGTAATCACTTTGTGTACTTGCATCTATGATAACCCCATGGACAGATTGAGTTCATATCAACAACATACTATCACCTATCCAAGATTTGATTTTGATGGTCATCAAACAAGCATTAGCCCGCCAAGGTCTTCACCTAATTAAATTTTAGTGGTCTTTGGTCAAGGTTAAATGTCAAAGGTCATCCTTGAGCATTTCTCATATAAAAATTCGTGTGATATCTTATGAATCCAAAAATAGTTTCAACTCATATTCACACTAGCATCACACTATCACGTTCTAAACATGATTAGATTTTGGTTGTCATTAGTCAAGTTCAAAGGTCACTGTTGACCACTTTCGAAATAAAACTTGTGTACAAGATGAAACCCTTAATAGATTAATCCTTCAATATAGATTAAGATCAACAGAACAAGATTAGGGACTGAGGTATATCTGTGTGAGCTACTCACTTTGTTTTTATTTATATGTTCATTACTTCAGGTGTTGTTGTATTTTTTACATTTATCAAAGAAAAAAAACTGAAAAACTTGTTTAAATTGATTGCTTTGTATATTTGGTCATACCAAGCATATATCATTGGGACATTTAACCGTTCCTAATGGCACAGGTGGTGCAGAAACTTTTTGTGCAAAGTCCCATGTTATGATGTATATTACTGTACATGGATGAGTTTATCTCTATCTAATAATCCTGGCCAACAATTGAAATCTTCAGTATAAAAAGGTGCCAGTGTACTGCCATTATTTTCTTTATTTTTCACATAGAAATATTTTTCGTACCCATAGAATTCTGTGATAATATAAGATAGTATAGGCTGTGAAGGAGTCTCTATAATCAACCAGCATTCCATGTGTGGTATCTCTACTGCTAGTTGCTCAAGCTGTTTGACCCTTAGTCTTCAATAATTGTCCCTCAGTTTAGTATATATCTGTGAGCAGCATTACTTTTTTGCTTTTTTTAGTGCAATATTTGATTGATTGATATTTTTTTTTTTTTTTTTTTTTTTTTTTTTTTTTTTTTTTTTTTTTTTAAAGAAATAGTATTTGGAAAATTGGATGAAGTATATTGACGAAATAAGTTATAGAAAAATTTATATATCACACAGTGACTGAAATAAATTGTTGCTGTTTGACCCAACTCTGACTTTAACCAATATATATTAGGTTGGTGTTCCTGAAAACTTTTCTTAAACTTCCTATTTCTGAACTCTTTTCTATAAATCCAAACAGATTTGTCAGATGTATTTTTAGTACTGAAGAGATTTGCTCTCTTTGGGGAATTTGTCATAGAGTTCTCTTCCCTATTAGTACAATAATTAGAAAAAAAATACAAAAAAAAATACCTTACCAGAGTTACTTCCCTTTAAACATTAAATGCAGGGATTTGCTGAAACGATATTTTTTCCTATTTGTTACATTATATATTGTTTACAATTGTCTTTTTCAAATACTGCTGTTTATACCGCAATATACATCTATAAACTATCATTGTTTACCTTTAATAAATTACTTTCAGAGTAATGATACCTGATGTTGTCTTGTTCCAGTGTTATACTGCAATGACCTCGGACGACCTTGATGTATTATCAGGTCATTGGCGAAAGGTCAGATATCGGTCCTATACGGTATGGAAATCACTATGAGCTAACCCACTCGAAAATAAATTGACCTATACATGACCTTTTACCTTTGACTTCTACCACATGTCAGCACCTACCGATAAGTATTTGAATATCCCAATATGCATTTTTCATGTCCGTGATGTACGTCATCTTTCCCAATATACTTATTTCTGAAACTTTCTGCGTGGCTTTTAAAATCATTCCTTTGAGTGAAATACCTAAAAGTTCAGTTCCCCCCCCCCCCAATTCGTTTACCTAAGAAATTTAAAATGAAATAACACAAACAAAAGCGTGTATATATTACAAATGACATGGTTTATATGTAAATATGCGGGTTACATTTAGAATACATTGTTCATATATACATAATACCAGAGACATATATACGTCTCTGATAGTACTGTCATCCAACCATACACATTGATCGATATTGCATGCTGTCCGTGAATGGAAATATCAAAATGTCCATTTTTCCTTTTTAAGCACTCCGGAGTATGGTAACCGTAATGATTTGGCACATAACCCAGAACATCCTACGATAGAACAAGTCACTATCAACAAACTTTTTGTGAACAGCTGATCACTATTTTTCATGGGTTGTGAAAAACTACCAGATTATGAATGAGCGTCAATATTACATAAAACGAAAGTTTCAATTGTATATGTAAAATATCTATATCCACATCACTGTGTCCAACTTAGAACCTTGCAATATCGATACGTCACACGGTTCATCATAGTCTATGCCACAAACTTGACAAGTGGTGTATGTAACAGAGAAGTGTTTACTGGGCCCTGTGGCGGTCTGTGATCAATTGTACTCTTTGATAGGTCGGGGCTGTCTGCGATGACCCTGTTGGTTGTACCCTGTGAGCTTCCTTTTGCGGTAATTGATCGGACGGATCGTGTTGAAATCGAAGTAGCTACATTGATACTTATCGTTCTCCTGTACCTGGGGACAGATAGTCTGGAACTTGTAACCAAAGTGTATCTCCTCCGGAATATAAGATGTTCTCACTTGCACAGTCATGCTGGTTGATTCAATGATACCTTCAAAAAGTACAACCAGTTCAGAAAATCCCCCAAACTCATCCAATTTCTCCGGTGGCCATAGTGGACTGTTGACGTCAATAGTGTGATACATGACGGCAGGCCAAAGCAAAGTTAAGACGTCACTTCCGCCCTCTGATTTAAAGTCAATGAAATTTTGCTGTAGATACTCCTTTCCCTCATTATTCGCACTACGTCGGACCATGATCCCCGTTGCCTTAGTCTCTAAGAGTTGCGAGCGACGGAAGTCACCGACTCTGATCATGAGTCGCCATTGTCCATCGACAACTCCAATACATGCCTTTTGACTAAACACAACCGTTTCCCCGCGACGCTTTGATCGCTGCAGTTTTGTAAACACGAGGGCTGCCGTCAAACAATGGACACCAATCCCAATTATAAACTGGAAAAAGACGGTCAGTACGACGTGAGGACATTCTGACGTCACTCCCCGAAAGCCGTACCCGATTGTGTGTTGGGTTTCTATAGAAAACAAAAAGGCGCTTGTAAAGTCAAACACGTTAGCAATGCAAGGTGTCTCATCTGAATCATCGCCTAGACTGATGATTTCTGGGTCGTTATGAGCGATACTAAATCCATAGTACAACAGGGCGAACACCAACCACGTCAAGAGAAACCCCATAACGAAGATCAGAAAGGACCAGCGCCATTTTGCATCCACTAGAGTTGTAAGAGCGTCTTTCAAATAATGTGATATAATTACTTTGTTTCCACTGTCCAGTTTGACTCGGAATGTGCCTTGTTTAGTTACCACTCGGTGTTTGCTGCTGTTGGAATCGTACTCCGCACAGCCGTCGGGAATCACCGACATTCGCATCATAATTACAAACGTCCAGTTATTCGTTGTCTTTGAAGATAAATGCCGTAACACTTTCGTCTCCACAACTTCTTCATCAAATGACAACTTCTAATATCTGTCAAACCATCTCTTGTAAGATCCGATGTCCAGTGAGTTGAAGTGACCACTATTCGCGTACTTGTTCGTTGTAGTCTACCTGTACACAGAAATATAGGCGGTGATTACTTGGACACATGTAGACTGACAGGTGAGATATGTAAAACCTACCACTCGCATTCCGCCACAACGCGTAAACATTTACCTTTCTACAAGGACGAACTTGTGCAAGATTAGAGGGCGTTTCACGGAAGTGTACATGTAATGCACTATGTACGGATAATTGATAGGAAGAAAAAAAACAACAAAAACAAAACAAACAAAAAAATAAATAAGTAAATCCTATATATCACTTAAGAGAATAAGAAATATTGAAAGTAATAGTTTAATACCAACATGCTAAAAACTGGGATTATATTAAAAACTTTGAAAATATAATACATTTAGTAGATAATTTTTCCTTGTAGCCTATATCATCCAATATTTCTCTCGGCCAATCGGCGTAGTGTACAGCGTAAGAGATGGGATACGATACATGAGAGATGGGCCGTAACTTGTGTCGGGAATACATTATCAGCACGCCTATAAAACATGGTGACACATGTACAGGTATTATACATAGTTATGTAAATCAGGTCCGCGCTATTCCGGGAAAACATGGTTCGTGGCAGTCAGCACCACCCCCGAGTCAGCGTGACGGATGTGACGAATATGGCTCGAATTTAGATTAATTATACCGTTACATTACCGTGAAAATAACTCAAATCTGACAAATAAATAAGTAACAATTTGAACAACAAAGGGAATACATATTTTGTAGAGACTTACAATCAACTGTATGAAATGCACGATTCTTTTCATTGACAGAAGTTGTTTAAGTGAAAATAATTACAGCATACAGGACTGACAGTAAAGTCTGAAATAATGAGTGTATGTTACAGCGCTAACAAGATCGCAAATAACCATACGGTACATGTTTCAGATCATCGGACTGACGGGAAAATCAGGAATGACTGTAGAGTATGTACGGTAAATGATTGACGGGGAAATCAGGAATGACTGTAGAGTATGTACGGTACAGGACTGACAGGGAAATCAGGAATGACTGTAGACTATGTACGGTACGGGACTGCCGGGGAAACCAGGAATGACTGTAGAGTATGTACGGTACGGGACTGCCGGGGAAATCAGGAATGACTGTAGAGTATGTACGGTACAGGACTGACCGGGAAATCAGGAATGACTGTAGAGTATGTACGGTACGGGACTGACGGGGAAATCAGGAATGACTGTAGACTATGTACGGTACAGTACAGACGGGGAAAACAGGAATGACCGTAGAGTATATACGGTACGGGAATGACAGGGAAATCAGAAATAACGTTGAAATATTGGAAAAATAACAGATACAATACTATAACACTTTCTGATAAATCTGATCAGTGAGGAACTCGTTTACGGAGGACAAGGACTGAAGGATCAGCGCCTAAGGAAGAGGCTAGGCTGCTGGATAAGGAGGAACGTGGAGGAGAGGTTAGGACTGGCAGACCGATGAGAGACTTTCTTAGGGAGGGACCAAGACTGGTTGATTAAGGAGGAACTTGCGTTGAAAGAGACAGGGCTGATGAATTATGGAGAGACTCACTTGGTGAGGAGCTATGGCTGACGAATTAAACAGGGACTCACTTTAGGAACCAGGGCTTATGGATCAAGAGGAAACTCGCATTGAGAGGAGCTAGGGGCTGTCGGATCAAAGAGGGATTCCCTTAGAGAGGAGCTAGGGGCTGTCGGATCAAAGAGGGATTCCCTTAGAGAGGAGCTAGGGGCTGTCGGATCAAAGGGGGATTCCCCTAGAGAGGAGCAAGGACTGATGGATCAAAGAAGGATTCGCTAGTGTAGGGGATAAGGCTTTAAGTGACTTCAATTAGAACGAGAGTATGCATTTCTTGTTATGCCAAAGTTTAAGTCATGAAAAAAATGATCTCGCGTACATTTTGATGTTCAGAGGTTTGTCGACCTGTTTGTTAACAGTTTGGTTGTCGTCACAATCCGACTTTATGGGTGAGTATATATTTAGGTGAGGATTATAATATGTTTAACGGGTAAGTATACACAGCTAGGTGCTTAGAGCTTTTATAGTAATATTCATCCGGATTTGTTAATGGTACACGTGGCATGGAGATGCAGGTCTTATTATCTTGAAGAAGCATATCACAGGTACACCAGCGATCTATGCTTTCTTTTCCTTAATTTATGTTATTCGCTGTTTTGAATGTGTATGCCGAACTTTTAGTCTAAGTATCTATAAATGGACTTGTTATTGTGTTACCGAGTACGCTCGTGCATGCACGTGAGAATATCTTTGTTTATCTTACTACACGTATATCTTGCAGTACGGTTATGCAACACTTGTCTATATGTCAATTTGTGATATTTAATGTTGAAAAGGTTTGGTCATTGCATTGTAGGGTTATGTTCATATTTTGTAGCCTTTCTAGTCGATACTGTTTGTCCGTAAGATGAAAAGTATATCATGTGTCGACAGAGGTTTTGGGTAAAGTCTAAGTCAATTCATCAAACTATCACTTATTACAGTACATGGAATGAGTACATAGACGTGAGCGAATGTTTACAAAATATACCAAATACACGTATATTGTGTAATCTAGTGTTATAGAGATTGCGGCTAGGTTACAGTTGTATTACGTCAAATTGTGGTATTTGTATGTTATAATGTCATGCATAATGGACATTTTGTCGTTAGAAAAAAGTGGAATAATTTACAATTTACGTAGTTTTGATTTACATAATGCATAATATTGCTGACATTATTGCGATAAGTGCAAACACTATACGTAGCAATGTCAACGAGCAATACAGGTTTTGTTTAATTAACTATCATTGTGTTGGACAAGTGAAATATGTGTCTGGTCAGCCGCGTTTACTTATTTACTCGAGCAAGGTTACGTAGTGTACGTGCCGCACGTGACTTAGTGACGTGTATTGTATTCGCGAAAATGTTTTGGCATGACGTATTTGTCGTACCTTAAATGATGATTAATGTAATATATTTATTACGGTAAACATATTTGGAAAATAAAGTCAGCACTTTAAAATTATACCTGCAACAACAACAACAACAACAACAACAACAACAACAACAACAACAACAACAACAACAACAACAACAACAACAACAACAACGACGACGACGACGACGACGACGACGACGACGACGACGACAACAACAACAACAACAACAACAACAACAACACAACAACAACAACAACTATTTACACATGTGGTATGAAGTTGTCTGAAAATTGACGCACTTTTTGTGTTGTTTCCTACTGTTGATGATAAGGCAGAGCTATACAATAACAAACACCCGCCGAGGTCTATCCAAGGACTGATCAACATGAGGTCGTCTGCGAGAAATAGATCTTTCGGAGGTCAGTAACGTATTGTTGTCTTTGCTGCCATCAGAAGATCAAGTAGTTCTGTATGTAGACGAGTAAGGCCTTTATCTGTTAATGTCACTGTGATGAAGTAAAAACAAACACCTTAGAGTTTGTGGAAGGGGAGACCATATTTGAGTAACTGATGTTCGCGATGGATGTTTGAAGGTAATCGATGGTATGGTAATGGAAATTTATTAAAATCTAACAATAGACATCTATTATGACCATGCACAATGGTTTAATGACGTTAAATGGTAATATGATGCCTACATTTATTACCAGCCCTATCATCTCTTGTCTCTGACAGGTTCCTTCATCTAATAACACATAAGTGTTCAAGTGCAATCTTTCATGTTATATTCATACTACATGACATTCTGACAAATATGCCAACGTGTGCATTATTGAGCTCGGACAATATACAATATCAAAGAATCCATATTTATTAAGGGGGTGAAGCATGCGAATATGAATGGTTACGGAATATGCAAAATGACCGCAAAATGCGAAATTGAATGATAGTCCATTTATACATTTGGGTAAAAAAAACCCAAACGAATAAAAAAAACAAAAAAAACAAAAACAAAAAACAAAACAAAAAAAATACATATAATGAAAAAAATGAAACATGAACTATGATTGGATTTTCAATGAAATCAGTTGATTGGCATCATGACGAGCAGAATGGTAACCACAGACTTCCACAAACATACAGAGGTTGAGTCTGACGTTAAATAAAACTTAGGGTATCTTCACGAGCGTCCGGGTTGTAAGTTGATAAGACGAAAGTTCATTGCATTTAAGTATATTCAGATGAAATATTATCACTTTTGTAAATATGAAAAAAGTAACCGATATCTCGTTTGTGACGTCATGTCCGATTGTCACTATCAACACTTCCGTTTGATTTGGTGTCATCGCGTACTCATTATCAAAATACTTCATGACAGGATTCAGTAGCAAGAGTTGAGATCGATCTGTTTTATAAGTAAATTAAAGTTTTATTATCTTAGGTGTCTTGACTTTGACTTTACAGCCATGTTCAGTATCTCCCAGAATGCAGTTATTGTTATCCCAACTCTTGGTCTCTTATAAACGTTATGTAACACTTGCATGCAACAGTTTTAACATAATTTCATGTATGCATTGCTATTTCATGTCTGTTCTATGCTGAGAATGGAAAGAATTGTCTTATGGTTCTTTATTAAAAGTGTAAGTTCCATAATTCCGTCTCCCTTTTTCCCTCTAACGAGGGGGGTAATGTTAACTAAAGTTTATATAGTAATATATAGGAAAATAATACTATGGCGTAGATTTGATTTCTTTTCGATAAGAAGTTATTCTAACTTCATTCCTATTGTCACCAGATCGCAGTTTGCGCCAAAACAACGATGGTTGTATTAGAACTCCAGCGAACATGTTGTTTTTTCTCTGTGTTAATATTTTATCAAAATAAACTGCTGTATCCAAACCCAGCGTGTTTGTAGACCTAATGAGCATATTTGAGTACTGTCAGAGGCGTAGCAATAATGTATGCTTGTATGCTTAAACATACACTCGAATTCCATTGAGATATATTTGCCCTACTTTTTTAACCTTACTGCGCCCCTAGACCCCCTTAACCGGGGCTTCGCCCTTGGATCCTCTCTTGAAAGCATATACTCCTAAAAATGTTTTGCTACGCCACTGACTGTATTTCAGTTTGGGCAGATGTCTGAGAACGAAGTGAGACTCTTGATTTTCTAGATTTGAAAGGGTTTTGTTTTGGTTTAAATAAGCTCACCACCGACACATCACTCTGTATATCTGTTTTGGTGAATCAGGATTCGGGTATTAATAAGGTGTCGAGGACTTTTTCTTTCATATCCATCCACCACGTATCCCTTATACTGAATCTAACTATCTTTAGCTAAGAAGAATGAAAGAAAGGAACTGCGTCATTTTTACTGAACAGAATGATGCCGACTCTCAAAAACGACGTCGATCAAAGGGAGATAATTGTACTGAGAAACCCCTTAAAACCTACAAAGTAGTCGTTTACTTTACTTTACACCGTGGACACCTGCATGTAAAATATGGCTGGAGGTTACTTGTAAATCACCAGTCGCCACGTGACTTCTGTAAACCTTGTGCACCTATTTTACCTATTTTTCTACATCAGATGTCTTCAGACAGCGGCTGTTTTTTGGGGTTTTTTTGTGATTCAAGCAGAAACGTACACTTTTCGGCCTTGTGTGTTTCTCGCTTCATTATCTAAATGCAGAATTGCCGTATTCATTTCATATCACTCATTTTGCTGACGAAAATGACAACGGTAACCATGGAAAGATTTTTAATGGCACGTGAACATCACACTTTGAACGGCCGAAGAAAAAAAATTGTAAGGCTAAATTCAAACTCTTGAGACAGGCTGGTTTATATATACGATAGAATACGTGATTGTTGATTTTATATATATACACATATAATAACCGAACCACAGTGATGTAAAGACAAGGTATACCATCCTTCATCTACATAAATATGAAGTCACATACTACTCCGGCATGTACGTATGAACTCAAGCGTTGGTCGGTTCGTTGGTTACAAGTTTCCCCGTCTCTTCTCACCCTCGAATGTCAGTTCTGGCGACGTTCAAATAATATACGTTTGGCTGTGTCATAAGACTGTGTTTTGTACTCATCTTAGAAATCTCACAGTAAATAATCCTACCATGCAGGCCCGTTCTCACGCCGTGGTAAGTCGAACAACGGTCAGATAGATGGACAGGTACATAGATTTTTTTGATTGAAACCTGTCATATAGGTCACCCCTGTTGACAACGATTTACCGAGTTCGTGTTACCACAACAAAACCTTCAAATTACTGACTTTCTGAAAGCCCAATTATTTTGGTGAAAACCAGAACGCAGTAAAGGTTGATTTTTTTATACTGTGGTGTCAAACTATACCGTGTCCTATCCCGTCACATTATGATATCAAATTGTATAACAATCTTACCACTAGGATTACCAACTCATTCCAATCAAAACATACACAGATTAAGCGAGATAATGCATTGGATGATGATGATGATGATGACGACGACGACGACGACGACAACGACGACGACGACGACGATGATGATCGAGGTGAAAAGTCACTCAGTTTACAAGAGAAAAACATGTTACACATTTTTTGTTCTTTAATGAATCAAACAAAAAAAAATAAACCGATTTCGAGGAATACTTTATTTGTTGGCACAAAGACATATAAAGAGAAAATGATTTGATTTACATACATTTGATAAACTGCAGATAAACATTCCTGACTAAAGCATTCACCTAAAGCAAATATAACAAAACTATATCTCACAACTGATAAAAAGCGGAATGTCCAATCATGCGGAATGTCCAATCATATATCTGGTAAAGATTTCTATAGCAACATGAAAAAACAAACGTAGCTAGCTTTTGCAAATAGATAGCGTGTTTGTACTATAAATCTTTATAGAACCTCGACATGCTGTTAAAAGAACAACATTAAACTTTACATTACGTTCCCATAACAACGAATTATCGTTTCCATAACAACATATTATATCAATCGTTTCCACACCAACTGATTGTATCAATCGTTCCCACAATAAGTGATTGCATAATCGTTCCTATAATAACTGTTAGCATCAATCGTTCCCAACCCACCTGCTTACATCTATCGTTCTCACACTATCAAATTTTGTCAATCGTTCTCATACCACCAGATTATATCAATCGTTCTCATTCCACCAGATTATATCAATCGTTCTCATTCCACCAGATTATATCAATCGTTCTCATTCCACCAGATTATATCAATCGTTCTCATTCCACCAGATTATATCAATCGTTCTCATTCCACCAGATTATATCAATCGTTCTCATTCCACCAGATTATATCAATCGTTCTCATTCCACCAGATTATATCAATCGTTCTCATACCACCAGATTATATCAGTCGTTCTAATTCCACCAGATTATATCAATCGTTCTCATTCCACCAGACTATATCAATCGTTCTCATTCCACCAGATTATATCAGTCGTTCTCATTCCACCAGATTATATCAGTCGTTCTCATACCACCAGATTATATCAGTCGTTCTCATACCACCAGATTATATCAGTCGTTCTCATACCACCAGATTATATCAGTCGTTCTCATACCACCAGATTATATCAGTCGTTCCCCTAACACCAGATTATACCAATCGCTACCAATTGTTCTCATACCATCAAATTATATCAATGGTAGACTTCAGTGCTAAATCTCTGCATTCTTCAAGAAAGTTTTTAATAATAAATAAATTTTCATCAATACCATATTTGTTTTAGCTTATACAAGAGACCTTGGTGTCAGGTGTCAAACTTGGTCAAAGCCTTACTGATATCAAAAAAGACATTTAAGACAAAATAGTTTATACTAATCGTTCCCATACTATCACATTTTAACAATCGTTCCCATAACATCACATTTTATCAATCGTTCCCATACTATCACATTTTAACAATCGTTCCCATACCATCACATTTTATCAATCGTTCCCATACCATCACATTTTATCAATCGTTCCCATACCATCACATTTTATCAATCGTTCCCATATCATCACATTTTATCAATCGTTCCCATACTATCACATTTTATCAATCGTTCCCATACTATCACATTTTATCAATCGTTCCCATATCATCACATTTTATCAATCGTTCCCATACCATCACATTTTGTCAATCGTTCCCATATCATCACATTTTATCAATCGTTCCCATATTATCATATTATCACATTTTATCAATCGTTCCCATACTATCACATTTTATCAATCGTTCCCATACTATCACATTTTAACAATCGTTCCCATACCATCACATTTTATCAATCGTTCCCATACTATCACATTTTATCAATCGTTCTCATACCACCAGATAAAAACAAACTGAATGATGCATGTGTAATACATCGATCTAGCCCGTAAACAATGGTGTCGATCAAAAGTCTGTGTTTCAGCCTCATGTTATCACACAAAAAATCTTTTTGCTCTGACAAACCATCATTATTCGTCAAACTGTTGCCATCAATCGTACAAAGGTTTCACTAAGACAAATAATGGTTACCCACTAAGGCAAACCTTACCACCACAAATATACCCTTTTTTCCGACAAACGTAAACCAATAGGGACTTCTTCCTTCTAACAGGGTTTCATCGTTCCTTCGAATAATTACTTCTATCACTTTAACAACCTGTCATTCTGACACACTTAATGGGACAAGCTGTCAGTCGGACAGACTACTGATGTCCTGACTCATATCGGATATTTTCCGTACGTGAATGCCTTCTCTGTATGTTGTGGATTGTTCACTTCCGGAGTCGGTCGTATCTGTATTACAGCCCTCTCCATTCCCCGACTCTGTTCCGTAACACGAGTCTGTGGGCGACAGAGAGCGGACCAAAAGGTTTACCTTCCGGTTCCGGCCTGGGGAAGGGCTTATAGCTGGAATAGTATCATGGAACTGAGAATAGTCAAAATCAAGAGATCCAGATGCCTTCCATTCAGCCATCATTGGTTTGAACTTCCGGTCCCATAGGAAGTCACTCGGAAGATATGACGTGCGCGTCTGGACCATCATTCCCGTGGACTCGATCGTCCCTTGTAAGAACAAGATTACTTCAAAATTGGTCCTCCTCAAGTCGTCCTCGTCAGTGTTCCAGAATGGACTTGATGGAGTAATTCTGTGTCGCAGAGTAACAGGCCAGCGCAAAGAAATTCTAGGGTTGGTCTTCTGCGCAGAGAAATCGAGGTCATACCGGAAGTGAGATACAAATTCATCGTCATTTGTCAATCTGTCACGAACACAAATTGCACGTGCATGTGTATCGATCATATCTGAACGTTGTAGGTCACCAACTCGTATAGACAAAAACATATCCTGGTCTTCTTCTGATATACAAACATTTCGACTAAACAAAATGGTATTTGCTCGTTTCTTTGGTTTCTGGACCTTGGCTATGACCATGCCGGTGAGTAATGCCTGCAGTAAAGCCCCAATTATCGACTGTACAAGTACCGAGAACACGGCGACCGGACACTCATCGTTTACATACCTCGTACCGTAACCGATGGTAGTCTGAGTCTCCATAGAAAACAGCAACATGTTGATAAAGTCTGGGGTATTTTCTACACAAGCTCTCCATCCTTCAGTCTCCTTGATCCGCTCAAAATCTCCATGTACAGAAGATATGGCATAAAATACTGATGCAAAAAACAGCCAACTCAGCAAGATCATTAACGAAAATATTGGCAATAAAAATCGCCATGGCGTGTCCAAAAGAGTGGTGAAAATGTCGTTTAGAAATTTTAGTTTCTTGCCTGTAACGGTCCGAGATTCCACATTACAGGCTCCAGACTTTTCGACGAGTCTAGGTAAAAACGCGTGATCTTCCTGAAGGGTAGTAGGGTCGGGTGCGAACCGCACCTTGAAGCGTTTCTCCGACACACGTGGTGGAATGTCTTTCGCTGGACTGTCCATTCTGACCACAACTGGTCCGTCCATTTTCTCAGTGTAGAAGACTATTTCGGCTCTCGTAGCCAGCCTGATTATTCTCAAATGTTTCACGCAAGATGGATTGTCGCCTATTGTATCGCCTCAGGCTCTCCGTTCAGACCATAAAGCAAACACAGGTGAAAACAGTGTGCACGCCCCTTATACGAGACGGTAGCTATTGTTTTAGACAAGCTGACAGGTGAATATTGCACTTATCTATCTCGCCTTTTGTAGGTCGTCCATGCGAGGAAGTCTGGCCCGTGAATGATGTCATACTTATAATTAGATGTAGGGGTTGTTTACTTTACATGCAGGATGAAAACGTTACAAGAAGATGCCAGTCATTGACTGCCAAATTTGTGAAAATACACAAGGGACAACTGACCATAACGGCAATATCCCCGTGGCGTCATAAAATCGATATGAAGTAAAGTCATGAAGTTAGATATGAATTATAGACTAAAATGTATATATCAAGTCCGTGTCCAAAGCAATAATTAATCTTTATACACCTCAATATCCTTTAAAGGAGACGAACACACCGCCTATGAATTAATCCACGAAGACTAACTGCTCCATCTATAAATCGTTTAATTATTTATTTAAATTGACATTGTTTACCTCCACGATCAAACTGGTGTAACGCCTTTCCTTCGTTATACAAAATGACCAAAACAATTACAGGACTATGAGGAACTGATGTTTACAGCTTTTTGTTCGGTTGTTTTTTTTTTCGTTAAAACATTTTCTATTGGGGCAGGTGTTTAATAGTTTGACGAAAGCATCTTTTAAATGGATGCGTAATTTGACCAACGCATGTGTTAAATGTGTCGCTTCACCAAGAATGTTGCATTCTTGCAGTGCGGTATTGGTTGAAGTTTTGACGGAAGAGTTTTCTGCAAAGAAAAATGTATACTTTGGTATTTAGGCCAATTCAAATCACTTAAGAGTTTCCGGCAATTAAATATTCTAAACAAAACGTTTGTTAACGACGATGATTTTGACTGAAGATTTTACACTTGGTTTTGGTCTCTGAGCATCACTTTCTTCACTTGACAGCTGACGTTTATCAATATCAGATTAATTGGATATTGCCACCGAATCCAGCATAATAGTGATCTAAGTGGTGTAATTTTGTGAGGCATTCTCTAGTTAAAAAAATACATGGCGACAAACGTTCTCATCATTCCATTTGGTTTTACGTCTTTATAGCGGTGAACTTATGACGTCACAGGTTTGGAAAACGAGGTCAACGCCTCTCAGCCAAAGGTGTGTTTTTCAGAAAAGTCGCAAATTTTCTCAGTAACGTAACATTCCACGGCATTCGCGTTTTCGGCACTGTGTATTTTATGTATAACTATTTTTTAAGCTCAACATAGCTGACCTCTCAGGGTACACTTTAAACCGACGTATATGCGAGTCGGGATGCGGATGTCGGAGTTTTGTTTTGACAAGGTCACGTGATTAAGTGGATGGAGCGAAAGCGGCTCTATCGATACGATAATTAACTGATCGCGTGTTACAAACATGTTTTGCCATCAACATATCACAAATGCAGAAAATATACGGTTTTTCAAGAGGTCAAGATGTTTCTTTCCACAAATAACCACTACATCGTGGGATATTTTGTTAGTGTTTTGTGTACAAAATAAGATTATTAAAAATAGTTTTTTAAAGTCTTTCTCTCGAGTGACTAACCGCGAGTTCTATCTAGACAGTTTGCACCATCAGACGTAGTATTGAACGAGTTCCGGGAAGTCTAACGTCACTTCCTGTTGAGACGGGTCGTGCACCCATGGCACCCTTTTATTTCCTCTGGAACAGGGCGGCTGTCGTGACGTCATTTATCCACCAAGTTGATCGCTAACTATAAAACAGTAGTGATATGTACTCCAGTGAAGTGTTATAGATAACGTTTCTCACAACGTAATATCCTTATAGTTATCTGTTATGTACTAGGGTACCCCAAAAATAAGAGATACGTGCATGATAAAGGCTTTCTCCAACCCCATAAAAAAACGTGTGTTGTCGTGTGTTTTATAATCTGTTGACTAGAGAATGTTTGTAAGAAAATTATACCTTGGCTTCCACATTGTTGAAAATTGAACTAAGGGCCTTCAGTCTAGCAGAACTAACAGTCGCAAAATCACTAAAATTCAAACATTTGAAGTTATGTTTCTACAATTTGACTCCAACGTATCAACGTCGAAACAGAAGATAGTTTGAACGTAAAAAGAATAACTTTTTCATGGATAAATGAAGCTGAACGCAAAGTCTTTTAAAGATGGACGGACAGATCACACAAAGAATGCCACCATTCTTAGCCACTTTTACCGCATAAAAACAGAGATCGGTATATTTTTTTAGCAAAAATTAGCTTTATTAAGAAATCCTGCTCAATCTCAGGCCAACTTTCAAATTCTCTTGGTTCTTTTTCTCAATCTCATTCACATCTTCAAGTGACCATGCAAACACGATCTAATAAATATAAAGACAAATTTAAAATCTCAACGCATCACAAAATTTGTCCAGATATGTATAGATGGCAGATAAAAGGGGTCATGAATATGCATAGATGAGTATGTACAGATGTTTATTGATAGCCCAGGATAATGAATATGCATAGACGTCTATGTACAAATGGTAAAATGGCTGTCCAGGGTTACAAAATATTACCATAACTACAGCTTTTATTATCACAAGATTTACCTAGGATATACTAAGCACTCTCTGTAATATCACAATGTGGAGATCCTACAGAGCATTAACACAGAGATAAAGTCGGGTCAGTTGTGTACACATGTTTTATGCTTTATAATAAGTTGATATCACAGCGTATCACAAAGAGAAACATGGAAAAAACTTAAAGGCTTTAGTAGCGGTCAGAAAATATAATAGCAAGGTTATAAGAGTTACTTCCCCTCCCTCTCAGATTTTTTTAAAATGGACGGATGAAGCCAGCACATTCAAGTTCAGTTAAAGTATTCAATCTTCAACACTTATATGAGGAAAGTGTATTCGATCGATCTGATGGTGTATTTCCTTCAAAATTAAGTATCTGAACAGACATATTTTTGAAAAATTAAAGTTTTTGATTAATCTCTAGCTTGAAGAGATTGAAGACCTTATCATTAATTGGAACTGGAACTGTTTGACACAAGTAAACAGCACAAAAAATTTCCATCAAATCGTAACAAAATGTAGTGTACTTGTGTGTAATTCACCTAGCTGACACCTTTTTATAAGGATAAAACATTTTTTCTGTGTTTTTCATATTACAGGTCTGCAGGAGTTGTCCCCCTTAGTATAAAAAACCTAAGCTATGCAAGAATACAAGGAGAGCTGGAGTGTTTATGGTCATGCAATAAACAGTGACAGATATGTTTTGTAGAATATGTATGCTACAGAGAACAGTCAGAAATCTACAATTATTGAGAACTTATAGGAGAAGGTATAACTCCTTGATTACCATTAATCATATCAAGTAATCATCATTAAAAATCTTAGAAGCAACAATCACCTTGTTTATTCTAAAATACAATGATTCTATTTCAATATCTGCCTCAAAATACCAAATTACAATTGATGTTTAATTAAGACCTATAAAACCATTGCTTGTTTGTTATCTTGTCTAAGGACTCTGTGACAAATTCAACACAAATGTTTTAACCTCTGAAAACAGAAATGGCACCAAATCTTCTTCATATATCAGCAAAAATAAAATCAAAGTTCAATTCACATGTAAAACATTAAAATAAGGGATGATTGTTGTAAATCTATCAAAGGGAGATAATCATGTTAACCAAAATTCAGGTTCCCATAAATATTCAGGAGATTCTGTTTATATGTTCATTGGATTGCAATGTAAAATAAGGAGTAAATATATCTTTCCTTTTCTAAACAATCAATCAAGTATTGCTTATTTTCCAATGGGTTTACACATCAAGAGCAAAACTGATGTAGTGAGAAAACAATTCACATGAACAAAGTCGGTTATGAATATCCCAAGAAATGGATTTCAGTTAGATATATCTATTCCCAGGTGTGATGGACACATTAACCACATTCACAGGTAGCTTCTACAGACAAACTAGGCACATACATATAAGTAGCTACTCCAGTAAAGATGGGCATAAATTTCTTGCAGTTGGATAAACAAATATGGCAGAGCATTCTACACCTGTTAACAGAAAGACTTGAGGTACAAAGATGGCAGACATATTTTGAAAATGTTACTACATAATTTCTCCACTATAACATGGGTAAATAGGAAGACCACTTCATCCACCACAGCCCACACAAATCACTCTCTTCACAGACAATCAAATATTGGAGTGTTTAAATTGTCAAAAATGGCAGAAAGTAAAATATGACTTTCCAGGAATAGATTTGTCAACATTCATCATCAAGATTCCCGACCTACAAAATTCTCTGTTGCTTGTAGTTCTTGTAAGCACACATTCATACATTTTGCAATGCTAGCTTTGCCTTTTCCTTTCTCTCTCAATTAATGGATACACTCATAGTTGTATGGAACATTTTACAAACATGTTATATATACTGTTATGTAGTTGGTTCCACTAGTTCGCCATTCTTATCAAGCAATCTTGTGTATCATTTATCAAATGTGGTAACTTTCTACTCTGAATTGATGCATTGTGATGTTGACATCATCAGCCACAGGACACCTCCACAGCGTCAGAGTGAATGTCACACCTCCACAGTGTCAGAGTGACTGTCACACCTCCACAGTGTCAGAGTGACTGTCACACCTCCTCAGTGTCAGAGTAACTGTCGCAATGTGATGTAAATATCTCTGATCACATGACACCTCCACAGTGTCAGAGTGACTGTCACATTTGTGATGTAATTATAATCAGTCACATGACAACTCCAGTGTCCCTGTGGCAGTCACTTTGTGATGTAGATATCTCCAGTCACATGACAACTCCAGTGTCCCTGTGGCAGTCACTTTGTAATGTAGATATCTCCAGTCACATGACAACTCCAGTGTCCTGGTGGCAGTCACTTTGTGATGTAGATATCTCCAGTCACATGACAACTCCAGTGTCCCTCTGACTGTGACATTGTGATATAAATATCTCCCACCACCTGACACCTTTAACTGTCACAATGTGATGGATTATCTCCAGTTACCAGCCAATAAATTCTTTTCCAGTTTTACATGTAAATATAAATGTATAGAATTAAGTAAACACAATCACATGAATATCACACACATACATTCAGTACAAAGCGGGCAAATATTGTGTAACTAAAATAGGTACACACAGATACATTCACTCTGACACTAGGGTCATTGTCTGTGACAGGGATATTACAGACACATTCAACATGGTCTCCTTCTTTAGGTAGGTTGTCACACATAGCCTTCTGATCAAGTGAAAGATTGTGATTTCATCGAATGAAAATGTTCTTGGTCATCTGAAAATATAAAGAAACAAATATATACTAATTAATCATATGATTTCAGATGTTACTATAACTGACAACTTGGCACATTAAAATGTAAAACTCACATTTACCATAGGGAAAGATACTACTTAATGTAAGGTTTATTCTCCTGTATTAATGGTTTCAGCATTAACCTTACTGTAGTCATATTTAACAGTACAAAAGATAAGTGTTCATCTTAAATAAAGGCACTAAAATCGCACACAGACATCTTCATCAGTAAATATACCCCTTATTATAACAAAAATAAAACAGGTACTGGACTGTTTTATTTAAATCTTTTGACTAAGTAAGGTGTGAGATAGAAAGTTATAAATTATCCTAGATTCCTAATCCCTCCTGTGAGATTAAAAATGACAAAACCAAGTTACCATGGATACAAAATTTGATACTGATATCTCCATGGTAACATGCATCTTTTCACTCTGAGTGATATACCATCAGAGATAGCTTACGTAGCCTTCAGTCAATTAAACTTAATATACGCTACATGCTTTGTAAATTTCTTCACAAAAAATCAATGTCACTGACATATACATAGTTGCTGTCATTGTCAGGTGATGCTGCACATCTAGCATTATTACCATGGTAACGACAGATGCTGGTGAGGATGAATCTGTAACAAGGGAGGCTACTCCTCTCTGTCCTTTAGTAGAGTTTATTTCACCTTTTGTTTGTAACATGTAACACAATAATATGTGACCAACAATTATCACTTTCAGAGGGCAATATACAGTATAAAGTACTATTTCATTATATACCCACATATTAGGATATGAATATTCATATTTAACAGCACATAATAGAGCTATGATTGGCGTCTTGTTACCTCGTAATATCTTAAGCATTAAAATTACAAAAGAGAGAAGCCAAAAGGTCTTTATTTCATATTTCCATAAAGGTCAGTGAAGAGTGTTTCAACAAATGTTTTCAAGAAATGTCATACATTAAAGAGAGGCAAGGGATACAGATGAAATTTTCTTTCTGTCATTAAGGAAATGGGTATAGGACAATATTCAACCCTCCCCCCTAATAACAGGCTTCATACTAGTCTTACAATGATAAAACTAGCTGATTCCATGCTCAGTAAGGTAAGATATACTGTCTTGACAACAGGGCCTGGCACTACCAAGGAATGTTAGATATACTGTCTCAACAACAGGACATGGCACTACCAAGGAAGGTTAGATATACTGTCTCAACAACAACAGGACATGGCACTACCAAGGAAGGTTAGATATACTGTCTCAACAACAGGACATGGCACTACCAAATAATGTTAGATATACTGTCTTGACAACAGGACCTGGCACTACCACGTAAGGTTAGATATACTGTCTCAACAACAGGACATGGCACTACCAAGGAATGTTAGATATACTGTCTTGACAACAGGACCTGGCACTTCCAAGGAAGGTTAGATATACTGTCTCAACAACAGGACATGGCACTACCAAGGAAGGTTAGACATACTGTCTCAAAAACAGGACCTGGCACTACCAAGGAAGGTTAGATATACTGTCTCAACAACAGGACATGGCACTACCAAGGAATGTTAGATATACTGTCTTGACAACAGGACCTGGCACTACCAAGGAATGTTAGATATACTGTCTTGACAACAGGACCTGGCACTACCAACGAAGGTTAGATATACTGTCTTGACAACAGGACCTGGCACTACCAAGGAAGGTTAGATATACTGTCTCAACAACAGGACATGGCACTACCAAGGAATGTTAGATATACTGTCTTGACAACAGGACCTGGCACTACCAAGGAATGTTAGATATACTGTCTTGACAACAGGACCTGGCACTACCAACGAAGGTTAGATATAATGTCTCAACAACAGGACCTGGCACTACCAAGGAAGGTTAGATATACTGTCTCAACAACAGGACATGGCACTACCAAGGAATGTTAGATATACTGTCTCAACAACAGGACCTGGCACTACCAAGGAAGGTTAGATATACTGTCTCAACAACAGGACATGGCACTACCAAGGAATGTTAGATATACTGTCTCAACAACAGGACCTGGCACTACCAAGGAAGGTTAGATATACTGTCTCAACAACAGGACATGGCACTACCAAGGAATGACTATGACATCAATATAACATAAACTGCTCTCCTGCCATAGTATAACAAAACTCATCTGTAAAAATTTAAACCTCAGAGTTTGGATTTAAAACAGCTGTACGTTAAGTCTGAACCTGCATTCAATTTGAATGGCAATAACAGTGTGTTGGCTTAACTCCCAACCAATATAACCAATGATCCACACCCAAAAACTACTAAAAAGCCAAATTAAAATTTAATGTCAAATTTTTTTTCTTCTTTTACTGCTGGGGTGGTCCTACAATCATCTCAACAACAATACAAGATGATATTGAAGAACACTGTTATATTACAGTTTCAGAGCTGGCCTTGATACAAACATTATGCACATCAAAATTTTTCTCTCATTATTTTGTTTCAGTCTTTTATCATTTTTGTTTCAGTGACTAGATTAATTGTATCAAATTGTTACAGAAATAATGAGCTATTGAATTCTTAATGAAACTTTGGAGAATGTGCAACATTATCACCGTAACAAGTTCCAAGTGATCTCCATGGTAAGATGAAAAAATAACCAATATGACAGACTTGCACCACAAAAAAGTGGTGCAATGCACCAAAAAGCATTACAATTCACCTTCTAAATAATGTAAGGTCTATCTACGCTCTTGTGTTCGTCATGAGGGGAATACAGCCGACGATTCCTGGGCAAGATTCACCCTCTGGTCCGACTCATCAGCCAACATAATCGTTCCACTCTGATCAATATGTACCAACCTTAAACCTGATGTGTGACTGAGTGAGAACAAAATGTTTTATCGGTTTTGAGGATGTTATATCATTGAGGTGAAAACGGACATTCCTGAATCATATATCTCTACACATACACTAAATCAGTACATTGTACCAAGTGCTTTTGACGTACATACATTTCCATCACAATGGATAGGATGGCAATGTTCAAGTGCTTCCCCTACATTTTTTCCAGCATAGGGATTGTCAAGCTTTTCAGAAAATGTCAAAATAATTTTTCCATCAATTACTCCTAATGGACCAGTGCAATGATTTGATGACTTTACAAAAGGTCCAAATGGCCTGCTTCACTCACCTGGTTTGTGGAACTGAAAGTTATAAGTTTACCTCTCTTTAACCTATTGGGCCCCATCCCTGTTAGTGGGGGTGGGTATTGGAATGTTTGGGAGGAGGGGTCAGACCCTTTATTTCAACAAAATTGAACTCATCTCTTCAAGGATGCTCCATATCAAAGTTAGTCCATTTTCTTTACCAGGTGAGCTCAGATTTACTGAATTTTACAGGATAACATATTTTGCAAACATTGCAATTTTTTTCAAATAGATTAAATCACTTTTTAACAGCTTTTGATTATCAACAATAAAACCTAGACCTAAGCAATTTTTAAATAACTGATCTTGAATAATAATATACTATTCACCTACAAAATGTGGAAGTTGTCTGACCTAAATGATTTTAAAGAGACAAGGAAAAATATTCTATACCTATATGTATTTCTTGATTTAAGTGGTTTTGTAAAATCAAAACTTTGTTTTCGTCACTTCTCCTAATTAACGGTATCCTCCATCACCATTAATTGGATCGTTTCAACTCATTCCATCTAAATGAATGGTATCCCGTAAACAGTTTTTTCTATCACCCCTCCTAATTAATTGTACCTTCCATCAACCTTTTAAACCAATGTTACCTTTGTCATTCTTATTAATTAATGGTAACCTGCTTAAAAAACCCTCTCAGTTCATGTTATCGCCTCAAATGAATCATCACTATCGTGACTTAGCCTTACATCACCAAAATACTGACATTTATCATCGAGACAATGCCTTGTGATAGAAGGAATCAAAGAGAGGGAGACCTAAACACTGTAACCAACCAATCTACCAAGCCACTCTGCCCAATTTGGTCCTCACATTCCATGGTTCCGTTTCTACTAACTGGTGAAATTTTGCTTCACCTTAAGTGTTCTAATTGATATCACTGGTCTCTCCTCACTACTGACCGAGACCCATCCCAGCACTACATGAGGGGCCTGAAGTTGTTTTAATTGATATCACTGGTCTCTCCTCAATACTGAAGGTGAGTTACCCATCCCGTGGCCTAGCATGACATTTGTACCTGATAAGACTCTCTGCCATACATAAGGTGACCCACCCAGTAGCCCAGCAGTAGGGGTCTGACTTGTTGTAAGCTGTGACATTTGTACCTGATATGACTCTCCTCCATACATAGGGTGACCCACCCAGTAGCCCAGCAGTAGGGGTCTGACTTGTTGTAAGCTGTGACATTTGTACCTGATATGACTCTCCTCCATACATAGGGTGACCCACCCAGTAGCCCAGCAGTAGGGGTCTGACTTGTTGTAAGCTGTGACATTTGTACCTGATATGACTCTCCTCCATACATAGGGTGACCCACCCAGTAGCCCAGCAGTAGGGGTCTGACTTGTTGTAAGCTGTGACATTTTAATTGATATGACTGGCCTGACAGATGATGCTATACAGCACTCGGTATAACCAACCTACTTTTACAACAGATATTTTAAAGCTAACATCTGTTCAAACTAGGAATGAAATAAGATTCTGTGTCAGTTACTGCTTAAAATAATAACAATAAACTGTATTTGTATCTACTAGACATGCAACAATGCTGAAACTAGTTATGTGACCTCATATTAATCACTTATGTTGGCCCCCAGTTGAAGTGCACCCGTGGAGCTTTAATTTTGGAGGAAACTGGACTACCTTGTGAAAATCTGTATGGTTTGTCAGGTAACCCCATACCAATTTATGTCTGAGTTAGGAATCAAAACCAGGATACCACAAATTTACTATTACAAGTTTATAAAAGTTCAACAAAGTAACAAGTGTCATG